AAAATATTTTTATTTTAGTTGTAGTTAGACACAATACCTCTATCTTATTTTTATGTGGTGCTGAGGATGGAACCCACCACCTCACCGTACTAGGCAAGTACTCTACTGCTGAGCCACAACCAACCCCAGCCCCAGCATTGAAGTTCATAAACAAGTATTTCAGTTGACACATTAATTATACGTATTTATGGGATGTGTTTTATAATTTGATACAGGTATTAAAAGTATAATGATTAAATCAGAATAATTAGTATTTTCCTCTTGTTAAATATTTATAATTTCTTCATGTTGGGAATTTTGAGCTCCTTTTTTCTAGTTCTTTATAAAATATGTAATAACTTGTTTTTACTATAGTCACCTTACTGTGCTGTGGAATACTGGACATTATTCCATCCAGCCAACTGTATTTTGGAACCCACTTTCCACCTCTCTTCTCCACCCCTTCCTATCTCTGGTGACAATCATCCTACTCTCAACATCTATGAAATCAACTGTTATTGTTTGGATCTGGAATGTCCCTCACTGGCTTATGTTCTGAAGGCTTGGTCACCAGTGCAGCAATGTTCAGAGATGGGATTTTAGGAAATCATGAGGGCTCTGACTTCATAAGTGGATTAATCCATTGGTAGTTGAATGGACTATGAGGAGGTGGTGGAAACTATAGGTGGTAAGACATTGTTCAGGAGGTCGGTCACTGGAGGTGTTCTCTGGGAAGGTATTTTTTGTTCCTGGCTCCCTCCTCTCTCTCTCTCTCTCTCTCTCTCTCTCTCTCTTTCTCTCTCTCTCCCTCTCTCTCTCTCTCTCCTTTGTGGCCGCCATGAGCTGAGCAGCTTCCCTCCACCATGCTCTTCTGCCATGATGTCCTGTTATCTCAGGCCCAAAGCACTATAGCCAACTAATCATGGACTGAAATCTCTGAAACTTTGAGCTCAAATAAATCTTTTTTCCACTAAGTTGTTTTTGTCAGGTTATTAAAAGCCGACTAACACATCAACCTAGAATCTTTTTTTTTAATCAGAAAATGTTTTTGAAATCCACAGGGAAAAGTGTATCCCCATACACATTTTACCACATTCTACCTCTACCTTCAAACTATTTCACATCTTTAAACACTGTATGGACTAATATCCTGAGTTTTTATGAAACATAATGAGTTTGTTAAGATTGGTTCAGAGAAATGTGTCCAGCATCTAAGGAGGTTACACATTCAGATTTCAACAACTGTGCTTCCCTGTAGTTTAGTTGCTGAGAACTCCCTGTTGGTAAAAGACTTAGCAAGTGAGCTAATTTGGAGGATAGACTTCAAATTTTCACTTAAAATTTCTTCTCAGATACCTGCTATTCTACACCTCCAAACCTCTCTTATCATTGACTTTTGAACCCCTACGATGTGCTCCTCGCCTCCTTTCTACCACCCTTCTTTCTTACTTATCCTACAGCTTTTTCCCCACCATAGTTAACAAGACCAAGTATACCCACCTGCTAGGGCTGGCTTAACAAAATGCTAAAGACTGAGTGGCTTAAACAACAGAGATATGTCTTACAGTGTTGGAGGCTGGAAGTCCAAGGTCAAAGTGCTGCAAGTGTGAGTTTTTCCTGTGGCATCTTCTTGGCTTATAGACAACAGTCTTTTTACTGTGTCTTCACATGGCTTTTTCTCTTGTGCAGATTTATTCCTTGTGTCTTTTTTGCTGTTTATAAGGACACCAGTATTATGGGATTAGGACCCCACCCTTTTGACCTCATTTAAACTAGCTTACCTCCTCGAGTGCTCTTTCTCCAAATACAGTTATGTTGGGAGGTAAGATTTCAATATATGAATTCTGAAATAATACAATTCAGTACATAACACTTAGTGTTGTCAGGAATCTTTGCAATGTTCATGTAACTAACCCATATGTAAAAGGAAAATTTCATTGGCAGGTCAGGCCCCAGTTGTAGATGGAGTGTTTACAGGGGCTTACAGTGTGGCTGAGGGGTCATCAAAGCTAAAGGAAGGATTCTGATGTTGATAGACTCCTCACTTCTCTACTAGCTTGTTATTAGATACAACTTAAGGGCACAGAATTGAGTTGATCATACTTCTTAGTTTGTGATATATTTTGTTTTTTTCTTATGTCATCTATTACAACTTCCATTTCCCTCTTCCCCCATAGTCACTAGTCACTATTTCTGATGCTTATAACATAATTCCTTAGACATGTGCTTTTTTTTTTTTTTGAGTGCTGAGTATAGAATCTAGGGCCTCCTTGGGAAAGACATACAGTGTTTTGTGTATGTTTTAAATTTGGAACCTGTAAAAAACTGCTTTTTAGTCAACAAAAGGACATAGTGCTGAGGAACTTTGTTTCCTAAAATCATAGATTGTCAGAAACTTTCCTGTTTGAAATCTTATCAGCAAGACTGAAACATTCCACGTTTGCCTGAAGGGTCTGAGTCATTTTGACACAGAAAAGCAGCCAGGTGCACAACTTCAGATAAGAGGTTTTGGGACACAGCATTCTGTTTATCTTAATGTAGTAGTTTCCAAGGAAACAGGACCCTTAATCTGCCTCTTGGCCTGGGCCTGATGTTAACCCTTTTATACACAGGCTTGCTTGATTCAAGCCTGTCAAACATTACTCTGTTTAAACTGTCTAACCTCCACCTTCCCCCAATGTTCTATAGCCACTTGCCCTTCCCTATGTTTGGTGGCACAGCTGTGTTTTCCTCCTAGTGAATGTTCTTCCTTGTTGCAGCTAGTTAATGAACTTGGCTTTATTAGACTGCGATTTTGATCCTGATGGTTTATATTTGATCTTTAAGTACACACGCACAGTATTATGGAAGGTCTTATTCAGTTTCTTTTTAAACATCCACACTGGTATTTGGAAAAGATCTAAATGTGTTGCTTTATGTATATCAAATTCATTGCTTCTAACTTTTGAATCGAACTCCATCTTGTAAATACACCCACACTCCCACGCACTGTATTTTATTCTCTGAGAGGTAGATAACCAGAATTGACTCCAGTTCCTTTGTATCACAAACAATGCTGTCTATTCTCATACGTTTCCTCTTATGGACCTGCTGGAGAATTTTCTGGGATACATACTCTGTAATGATGTTGCTGTATTGTAAAGTACACTGTCAGGATTTTGCTAAGTATTGCTAGAGTTGTAGGTCCAATTTACATACTTTCAAAAACTTGATATCATTTTCTGCCTTCTTGTGTTCTCCAAGTTGACAGGTATAAAGTGATATTCTAATTTTGTCTGATTTGTGTTTCTTTGAGCAAAAGTCAAGCATCTTTTCTCTGTCAATTACCTGTTTCTTTTGCTTCCATGAATTGCCTATTCAGATTCTCTCTGTTTTTAAAAAACCAGGTTTTTAGCCTTTATACAGCTAAACCTAAGCATTAGTTTTATCCTGCTATCATTTATCATCGAGCAGAAATAATTTACAATTAAACAGAAATTATACAACAATTAAGTTTCATCTGTGATATTTCTTGAAAGTGTGAAAGAGATCTCTTGAAATAGAACTATCATAGACTGCTTTTGGAGTCAGTTGGGAAAGAGAGAATGTGTTTGGATTTGGAATCACAGGAAAGGTAAGTGATAGAGGAGAAACTGCTTCCCAGACTGGCAAACAGAATGGACAAAGGCCAGAGGAAGAAGGGCAGATGGTAGTTCAAGAAAAAGCAAGACCTGCTGGGAGCAGTGGCGCATGCCTGTAATCCCAGTGGTTTGGGAGGCTGAGGTAGGAGGATCAGGGGTTCAAAGCCAGCTTAGCAACAGCAAGGCACTAAGCAACTCAGTGAGACCCTGTCTCTAAATAAAATACAAAAAAAGGGCTGGGGTTGTAGCTCATTGGTTGAGTGCCTGAGTTCAATTCCCAGTACACACCCACCCCCCATAAAAGCAAGACCAGTTTGAGTGGAAGGCATCATTGGGGTAGTGTTAATTATATTCACATAAATAAGATTTAATTGGTAGGAGGACTAGTAGGTCCCTGAGGTAGTTAATTTATGTGTCAATTTGAAAGGTAAAGAGGATTCCAAGTTGGGAGGTTAAGACATTATTTCTGGGTGTGGCTGCAAGGGTATTTCTGGGTGAGGTCAGCATGTAAATTGATGGACTGAATAAAGCAGATCTCCCCAATGGGTGGACATCTTCTAATCTGTTGAAGATCTGAGTAGAATGAAAAGGTGGAGGAAGGGAGAATTCTCTCTCTCTGCCTGACTGCTTGAGCTGGAACATTAGTCTTCCCTTGGCTTTGACTGGAACTTACACCACCTTGTCTCCTGATCCTCAGGCCTCGGGTTGTAGACTAAAGCTATATGACTAGCTCTTCTGTGTCTTTGACTTATAAACAGAAGATCATGGGACTCCTCATCATTCATAATTTTGTGAGGCAATCATAACTCTTTTTATATATAATACATATATCTTAATCATAACTCTTTTTATATATATAATATATATATCATAAATATCTCTTTATACAATATTATGAAAATGTATAATAAGTCTTTTCATTATAAGAAATTGACTCCACAATATTCCAGATACAAGATGGAGCCCCATGAAACCCAGTTATGTAGTTCTAGTCTGAATCCAAAGGCTTAAGAACCAGAAGAACCAATAGTGTAAGTCCCCTTGTCAATCCAAAGGCCTGAAGAAGCTAATACGGTCTCTGAGTAGGGAGGTAACGTGGTCAAAAAATGTTTTTAGAAAGTTTTGATTTTTCTATGGCAAAAGAACTGAGAAGCTAGACTAGAGATTAGCACACACTTTAGGTGAAAAGTGAATGTCTCTTTGGATTGAACAGAAAACATGCTGGATGCAAACGAAGATAATTAGCTTAAAAATACAACTAGGAAGATTTTATTGCCCTGCATTAGTAAAAAGAGCTGTTGACATTCTTAGATGTTAGTTAGACTAATGGATTGAAATTAAGATGATAATGTCTGAACTAGGATAGTTTGGGGGAGAAATAATCAACAGGGAATGCATAAATGCATTGGTGTCATATTTTAATTTTCACTTGAAAAAGTTACAGAGTATAAGGTGCTCACAAGTTCAAATTTATTTATTTATTTATTTATTTATTCATTCCTGTTATTAGGCTCTTTTCTTTCTGGGCTTTCTAGTCACTGTACTGTACACAAATTTCCACTTATTGGGTAAGTGCTACTTAAAAATTTGTCCGTATTTGCTTAAATCCTGAGAAAGACCAAGTGACATTCTGTAAAACTTGTTATGTTTTGAGATACTCAAATACTAGGTTAAACCATGGCAAGTCTACCAAATGATATATTTTGCTACAATAATTGATTTGTACCGTGTTTGCTCAATGCATCTATGTTGCAGGCTTTTGGGATAATATAATTTGCTAAAATCCTCTCAATACAGTGCTTCAATAATTACCATCTTCTGGGACTTGGAAATAGCCTTATTATACAGACCTTGTTGTTATACAATAATGGCATTTATTGGAATGGAATTCTATATGTATTATTACTTCCGACATCAGCCTGGCTTTCTTAGTCTCCTCACAGCATGCAACTTTGGTAATTATGCTAATGCTAGCTGATTCATGAGGACAACTTCCTAAAGTGCACTTAATTAACTTGGAGATTTTGTAAACAGCTGTACATGTAGGTTCCGCAAATTATGGGAATATGTCAATTTGACATGTGTACAGTCTGCCTCCCCAACCTCATCACTTTTTTTTACTAAAGCTTAAAACGATGAGAAACTCTAATCTATTGCCTTTTGAATGAAGCCAGTGCTTAACGGAGATTCTGGGAAATGTCACTTTAGCCTATATGAAGATGGGGACAGTCTGGTTTCTCCAGTCTGACTGTTGACTCAGAAGAGTTAGGTAGATGATGAATGAAGTTGGTATAAGGGAAACTATTAAAGTTTGTGTATTTGGAAAAGGGAATAATTTTTTCTAACATGTTTCTACAATGTGATTTTGCCAGTCAGTTTGTTAGTCCTCCTGACAATCATTGATCTTCAGTGGACTGGTCTGAAAACCCGGTGTCTCATTCAGAAGGCTCTATGGTCTCCGCTTTCTTTCTGGGGTTGATTTGATATTTTAGTGACTCCTCATCCTTGTTTGAATGGAAATCATCTGACTTTTAACCTAGTTTATTAAGATCCTATACCCCTCTATACTTAGAATAGTTAGCCAAGAATAGAAGTGCTCTACCAGAAATTACACACAAGAAATGTACAAGACAAAGGATAACGAATCACCTCAGAGCCATGACCAAGCTAATCAAAATGGAAGGAAGAAGAAACATTACCAGGATAAAACTGGAAGGGAGCATACTACATATGCTTAGAAGAAATGACAATTGCACAAACAACATTGGAGAATAGAAATTTAAAAAAAAATCTTAAGGCCACTACATAAAATCACACTCTCTGATAAGTCTTAAAAACTAAGCTAGGGATTTGCCTGTGGTTTTCTCAAGGGGCATAGCAAGGTCATTTTCTGTCATTAATTTAAGCTAAAATCCTGGCAACTAGCTAGATTACATCTAAAGATAATCAAACATCTATTGCTCAGCCTTTTCTTTGACTTCAATAGTCAGGACCTCCTCCCCGGCCTCGGCAGAAGGAGCCATGCTGATGATGAGTGATTGATTAGAAGTTCCTCTGGGTAAAACTGCCCTTTCAACTGAGGGGGGCATTTCCTCTGCTGCAATAGAACTTTCTTTACATTTGGATTTGTCCGGTGTTTTTTCAGCTGGCTCCCTTCCTTTATCTTCATTTTCTTTTCCTTTATCTTCATTTTCTTTTCCTTTATCCTCTTCTTTGGGGGATTCACATTTTTCCTGGAAGAAGCAGTTACAAAGAATTGGTATTGAAATCATAGGCAAGGACATTGGAATCTTGATTAGCATACAGTGGTTCCTGCCAAGACAAAGGCTATCAGAATTGACTGAATATGGAAATCATGTCTGACTTGCTTCTATCACTCACTAAACGTTCTGCTGTAGAATGAAGCTGAGTTGTTGCATTTGGTTTACAGGGTTAGTCTAGATTCCATTTTCTGTCCCTGCCAAAGAATTCTCTTCTGATTGGTCCTCATACACTTAGATTTATTAGACTCAATGCTCAGGACTCTTTGCTTTTGGTTTTTGAGTTTTTACTTATTTCATTTATTTTATGAAGATGAAATTTTAAATATTTATATTTTAATAAAACATAGTATTAACCAAATGTTATGTAAAAATACTATAGAATGTGTCTTTTTTCCTTCTGCAGAAGCTCAAGGGAGACCCTCTTGGAAAAACTCATATTTCTTCCTAGCACAATTTTCTCCATTTGTCTCATGAGTGCTTAAGTTATCATTTTTGAACCTTTCATATTTAGTGTTATCTATAGAAATTTCATGGTAAAAATTCTACTAAGTTCCTTACTGGTGATGCTTGGGATAAACTTAAAAGAGGCCTTCTCAAGATGTAAATGTGCACAGGTGAAGTTGAGAATCTTTGAGGTGCCCCCCCACTTGGTTCTCAGGATTGAACCAAGGGTACTGTACCATTTATTTTGAGACAGGGTTTCACTAAGTGGCCAGGGCTGGCCTTGAACTTGTGATCCTCCTACCTCAGCCTCCAGGGTTGCTGAGATTACAGGCAAGTGCCACCAAACCTGGCCAAAGTTGAGAATTTTAAGAAATTTAGTTATATATTTCTCTATCCTTATATGTTCTTTGTGAAAATTATTATTTCATTATTGATATAAATGAGGCATTTGATTTATACAACACCCCTATTTTTACCTCAGTGTTGTGTATGTGGAAAAGTAAGAGGTAAGTTTTAGTTTTTTGACTGTGATTGATTTTGTGATATTTGTTTCACTCATTTCTGAAAGGTCCACAGCTGCACATTTCTAGTAGTTTTAGAGATAACATAAATGACTAGATGTAGAAAACCTGAATTCCCATTCTGTTTCTCAATATCCGCTTTCATAGATTTATTATGAGAATCAAATAAATATAGACACAAAAATTTAAAAAAAGGAGAGAAAAACAATATTTGAATGACTTTAAATTTCTGGGAATTAGAAGGAGAAGTGGTAAAGTCTGAACACTGGGTAGTAGAGTAGTAGATTTTCACCCTATAACTAATTGTGATCTTATCCAGATTTCTTAATCTGGGTTGATAGACCCAACCTGATATTTTCTTAAAATTGGGAGCCATCTCGTCACAAAGCCATGAAAAGATAATTTTGGCTTTACTATAAATTTCTCGCCATAAAACCATGAAAAGATAATTTTGGCTTTACTATAAATTACTGCAAATTCTGAACCTGCTTGGAATGCCTGCCCGTGCCTTGAACTCACCCATGCCTGGCTCTCTGACCAGATAGCAGCCCTCTCTGAAACTTTACTGATGCCTCATAAATCTTGGCCTTCCCTGGCCAGATAACAACCCTCTCTGAGTCTCTAATGACCTTCATAAATTCTGATGTCGGGGCCAGCAAAAATGTAAATGACCATTTGTGTTATGCTCATCAGAGTTCTGTTATCTGTAACCCACCTTTGTGTAACTTTCTGGGCTATAAAGCTGGGCTGCAGGAAAGCTGCGGGTGCTGTCTTGTTCCCACAGTTTTGGGTGGGAGAGGCAGCTCAGCTGGTCGAAATAATAAGCTTGTTTTAATTGGAGTCAGTGGTCTTTTCTTGTGTCTTGGTCTAACAGGGTCTTGGTTTTTTCTTTAACATGAAGGACTTGGATGAAATCTGTAATTTTTGACTTGAAATATTTTTAATATATATTGATTGTTTATTAAAAATTTTATTGGCAGGTTGGTAAAATGGCTTGTATATTTATATTTATATTATATATATTTATATATAATGGCTTGTATATTTATATATATATATGCTTATATACCTATATATATGTGTGTGTGTGTGTGTGTGTGTGTGTGTGTGTGTGTGTGTATGTGTACTGTTGATTCTCATTGCTCATCAAAGTTTTGTTTTATAAAGTCGCCATGAACATGTGAACTAATGCTGAACATCGCTCCTAGGGTGAGTTCCTATATGCCTAGGGCCACACCATTTTTGTCAACTGATCAGTATATAACCAATTCATATATGTTTCTGTTTAGGGCTTATTTACTTATTTATTCATTCATTCATTCTGAGGATTGTACCCAGAGATGCTCTACCACTGAACTACAACTCTAGCCTTTTTATTGAGACAGTGGCTCCCCAAGTTTCCCAGGCTGGCTTTGAACTTGCCATCCTCCTGCCTCAGCCTCCTAAATTGCTGGGATTACAGTCATGTACCACCATGCTTGGCTTAGAGATACCTTATCTAATGTATCAATTTGATGAATTATTGATTCATTACATTGAACTCATGGACAAAAACACTAATTAGTGACTAAATGAAACTTACTTAACACATATATTTTCTCTGTAAGGCGTATTTGTATTTAGGAGCTTTAGATGCCAGCACTACACTTGGGAACCATTTTAAAAAGCAAAATATCCCTCTTTTTCTCACTCTCCCCGCCCCACCCACAAATAGTACACAATTCAAAAAAATATGGTGCCAAACAGATTGCATAAAATGTCACTAATTTATAGTGTTTTAAGGGCTGAAACAAGAAGGTAGAGTGTCTCCTTGTTTGACCTTGGAGGGAAGTGTATGTAGCAGGCAACTCGAGTTTATTACCACTCTGCATGTGCACTTGTCTGCAAATGACCCCAAAAGCCTCATGAGTATTGATTTGGGGCCAGAAATAAATTATAATGAGAAGGCAGATTCACAAATAAAATCCATAAATGATGAGTTGTATTTAAACTGTATTTAAATACAACAAACCGAGGAGTACTACATGTGATGGTATGTAGGGTCACAGTTCAAATAATAATAAATGCTATATATAAAGGAGTAATCATTAGTATTAGATTCTCCCAAATTATCCTACCAGCTGAAGTGGAATTAGAGTAGGAGCTCTGTCCATTACTTCCCTCAATTTGTTCTGCCTTGTTACCTGAGCTTCTTGTTCTCTCTTCAGTTTGAGCAGTCTTCCAATATCTCCTGTCCCTCCCAGGAGAGCTCTAAACATTTTCGGTGTCTTTTCTTTTGGTTGAAAGAGAAGGGCAAGGCCTTTTCTTGGAGGGGTTGCTTCTTTGTTGCCACCCTTCTGCTTTAGAAGCACTCTGTAGTCAGGAGAGGAAAACAGTTTTAGGTATCTCTGTGAGAGTTTTCTGACAAAATCTACCAGAAAATATGTAATTTCTCCTACCTGTCAGCTTTCAACAGGTTCCAGCATTAACAGCTGTACTTAAGCATATCTCATGAAGAGAGTTGATGGCAATCATGCCAAATTTATCCTCAGCTTAGACTTTATACAGTAAAGCCAACTGTGTCAAACTCTATTGGGCTTTTTATTTTTTGTTTTTTATAATGAGGTTTGAACCCAGGATGATTTACCACTGAGATACATTTTCATCTCTTTTTATTTTTTATTTTGAGAAAGAGTCTCACTAAGTTGCTGGGGGGGGGGTGGGTCTTCCTAAATTTCTGACACTGACCTTGAACTTGTGATTGTCCTGAATCAGCCTTCTGAGTTTCTGGGATTATGGGTCCCTACCTCTATTGTTTTTGTTCTTCTATTTTTTTGGACCCGGATTGAACCCAGGGACACTTAACCACTAAGCCACATCCCTAGCCTGTTTTGTTTTGACACAGGATGTTTCTTAAGCCCTTGCTAAGTTGCTAAGGCTGGCCTTGAACTTGTCATCCTCTTGCCTCAGCCTCCTGAGCCACTGGGATTATAGGTGCGCATCACCATGCCTGGTTCCTCTACTGGGTTTTTAAAGGTTGTACCTAGCTTTCTTCATGAGGAGTTTTTCAGAATCTGGATAATGTACTAGAATTTCTTGGAGGGTCTTTTTGTCCAGAGTTAGAAGATTGGCAAATCCATGGGCCACCACATTGGCAGTTCGACGGTTTCCTCCTCCTGATGCCAGAAGGCTGTAAGAGAGAAAAATGAGTCTTGGCCACCAGTTTCACTCTTACCTCATGGAGATCTTTTGAAAAATATATAACAATTATTATTCAGTACATTTGTTGTCCATAACATTGGCCTCATATTCAGGTGAAAATACTTATCCCACCCAAGTGAAAGTATTTCCCCTAATGCAATCCCTCAAACCCTCCTGTTTTATCTAAAGGAGATGGAAAGCTAAGAAACACCTGGAAGATCACAGCACAAGGACACATACCCCTAAAGACTGATGCTTACAAGACTTTAGGTTGTCTTTTCTCTCCCTTACATATTGCCTTCCTCTCAACAGCAGGACACCTATATAATAATGGTGAGTTATAGCTGAAGCAGGCGCAAGATGTAAACTCCCTCTGATGAGGAATACTTAAGAAAGCCAGGTATTCCTTTTGCTTTCTTAAGAAGACAAAAACAGGGACATAAGAGGAATTTGAATCTTCTGACATCCATGCTATAACAAACATTAACATAGCCCAACTCCTGGTCAGATTAGCATAAAAGTTCACACAAAAGGCAAATTCTACCTTCATTTCTATGATCTGGCACATCATTTCTGCTTTCAACAATGATTACAGGGAATGTTAGAGGGCAAGAAAAAAAATGCAGTCTGACGAGACAAAGCTAGCATTAGAAACAGGTTGAGATTGCACAGCTGCCAGAACTCCTAGGCAGTGAAAATAACAACAACAAAAACCATGGTTAATATGTTAAAAAATCTAATGGGAAAAGTAGATGACATGCAAGAACAGGTGAGAAGTGCAAGCAGACAGGTGAAAATGAAATGACAGAATCCAAAGGAAATGATAGATTTAAAAATAACTGTAGCAGAAATGAAGAATGCTTCTGACAGACATATCAGTAGACTGGTCCAAGAAAGAATCCGTGAGAGTTTTAGTCAGCTTTTTCATTACTGTAATCAAAAAACCTGACAAAAACAATTAGAGGAGGAAAAGTTTATTTGGGGACTCCTGATTTCAAAAGTTTCAGTCCATTGACAGCTAGCTCTATTCCTGGGGGCCCAAGGTGAGGCAGAACATCATGGTGGAATAATGTGGCAGAGGAGAGCAGGTCAGGACATGGCCACCAAGAAGGAGAGAGAGGGAGGAGGGAGGAGGGAGAGAGAGAGAGAGAGAGAGAGAGAGAGAGAGAGATTGAGACTGCACTAGGGACAAACTACATGTCTCAAAGGCATGCCCCCAATAACCTACCTTCACCAGTCACACCCTACCTGTCTTCAGCTACTGCTCACTCATTGGGTTAAGGCTCTTATAACCCAAACATTTCACCTCTAAACCTTGCACTGTCTCACAAATGAGCTTTTGAGGGACACCTCATATCTAAACCATAACAGGGAGCTTAAAGATACATTTATAGAAACTTTCCAGGCTGAAATGTGGAAGATTAAACAGAACTGAAAATAAAGAACTGTGAGATAATTTTGAAAGCTGAAATGTACACATAATTGAAATGCTCTAAGAAGAACAAAAGACATATTTGAAATAATAATGGCCCAGAAATTTTCCAAACAAAGGAACTATTCCCGGGCATATCATATTCAAACCACAGGAAACCAAAGACAAAAAGAGAAAATATTGAAAGACTCCAGAGGGAGGAAAATGTCTAAGCTGCAGAGAGACAATGATAAAAATTACAGAAGATTTCTCATCAGGAATCATGCAAGCCAGAGAGTGGAGTGAAATATTTAAAATGTCCAAAGAAAAAACTACTAATTTAGAATTTTTATATCCAATGAAAGTATCCTTCAAAAGTAAATAAGAAACAAAGATTTTTCCCAGAATAAGAAAAAACGAGGGAGATCTGTCTGGCAGGAAGTGGTAAAGTTTTCAGGGAGAAAGAAAATCATATAGATGGGGAACTCTGTTCTATGCAAAGAAAGGGAGAACAGTGGAAAAGGAGGAAATGAAGGTAAAATAATGTTATGATTTAGATGTGAGGTGTCCCCTCAAAACATGTGAGACAATGCAAGAGAGCTTAGAGGTGAAATGACAGGGTTATGACAGCCTTTTCCCAAAAAGTGCATTAATCTGCTCATAGGGATTAACTGGGAATGTGGGGTGTGGCTGGAGGAGGTGGGTCACTGAGGGGCATGCCTTTGGAGTATATATTTTTGTACCTGGTGACTGGAGTCACTTTGCTTCCTAGTGCCATTTCCTGAGCTATCTTCCTCCACCACACTCTTTAATCATGGTGTTCTGCCTCCCTTAGGGCTCAAGAGCAATGGAGCTAGCTGTCTGTGGATTGAGACTTTTGAAACTGTGATTGTCAAATAAACATTTCCTTCTCTAAAATTGTTTTCATCAGGTCTTTTGGTAGCAAAAAGCTGACAAAATCAAATGAAATATTTTATTTTTCTCATTAAGATATCGAAAAGATAATTATTTAACAGAGTAGCAGTGTATGTGGTAATACTAGCATATGGGTAAATAAAATGAGTGATAATGTCATAAGGGATGGAGGGATGGATTGGGAATGCTCTGTCCTAATGTAAGAGTTCTACATGTGAAGTATTTTAGTGTTATTGAAGATATGCTTAAATTAGCTGAAAATGTACATTGAAAACTTTAGGGCAGCCATTTAACTCAAGAAATAAGTATAATTTGTATGCTAAGAGGGGAAAGAAAACTGAATCACATAAAATGTTCAATTAAAACCACAGCAGGAAGGAAAGAAAAGAGAGGTGAGAAACCTAATGTAAGGCCACCTTATGGCATCAGAGTTGGCCACTTATCTGAACCTGACACTGAGGATGGGATTGGGGAGGGTAGTCCAGGAATCTCCAGACCCCTTAAGAATGAAATGACTTCTTTAAGGCAGAAGGTATACTCTTGAGTCCTAAAGCGTGACTATATTAATGCCTACTAATTTTGCTCACTGATTTTACCTTTCAATTCTTTTGCTACATGGCAAAAACCACTACTTTAGTCCTTTCCTAAGGTTCTTTTCAAGGCAAGCTCTGCCTTAACCAGAAAAAGACAAGGTAAATCAAAATTTACCCCTTCTATCTATGTATCTATGTATCATTCTATTATCTATCATCTGCTATCATAATAATTTTTTCACATTTATTTACTTGAATTCCCATCTCCTTTGCTACATATATCTGATATTAATATTCAAAGGACAACAATTAGATAAATTGATTTTATTCATTTTCCTGTAGCCTTGAACACAGGGTGTTCCAGTAGTTAGGCAGTGCTGGATGGCATTAGGGAGCTTAATTTGAACCTGAGCATGCCTCTGTGAGTATGTCAGACTAAAAGAGGAGAACGGAAATAACATATTTAAATGTCAGGTTATTTTGAGATTTCTCAAGCTTTAATTAAACTTGCCTACAGGTTACACGTTTGGAGTGCTTGATGAGTTTTTGAACGGAGGAAATAGTCTGTCTGCCAGATGGATTTTGCCCAAACTCTCTCAGCAATGTTTAAAATAGCATCTTTCCCCCCCTCTTGTCCACAAAATGCTTCTCCAGCATTCCACCAATGGAAAGTTTCACTCATTAAATTGCTTAGTAAGGAGGTCCCTAAATATTCCCAACCCCACATAGAGTTTCTCAAAGAGTCCATGCTGGAGGACAAATAGGAGGTTAATGTGAAAAGTCCCCAAGTTAAAAAAAAAATGTGAATAGAGCAATGGACCAGGGAAACAAAGGAATTGGTTCTAATCCTAGACCCATCTCTGTTTGCTGTGACCTTAGACAGTAACTCAAGGACTTTTGAGTTTTCAATTTAATCATTTCAAGTACTGATTAAGTCTCTACCGTGTATTCAACATAGTGAGATGAAGGAGGGAAAGGGGAGAATTATTAAAGCATGGAATGAGTTTGTGAAAAGAATGCAGGCTTTATAATCAAATAACTCTACCATGCCAAATAATACTATTTATTAAAGTGTATCTATGAACAGGTTACTAATCTCTCCCATGGAAAGAAAGCCATCTTTAATAACTGTTATAAAATCTGATTATCTTCCAGAAGAACTAGCTACTTGCAGAATGCTGACTTTGAATTATGGAGAAGCTACAATTAGATAAAAATTCTGTCTGAGCAGTTTTAAACCCTACTGTGTGGTGTGCAGCTAGACATCATGCTACTTATTTTGGAATAGTGTGCTAAATTTGGGTGAGTGAACCAAAATGGTTGTGTGCATGTCACAGAGAGAGAGCATATGCAAAGTCTATGTGAGAGAACTTGTATGTGTAAATGTGGGCAACAAACAGCACTTGGACACACCCCTACACACACACACACACACACACACACACACCCCTACAGTTTGAAAGTGTTTTCCAAAGTTCATGTATAGAAACATGTTTCCAAAAGTCATATGTTAATGATATTTGGAGGTGGGGGATTTGGGCAGCTAATTAGAATGAGATGAGGTCATACAGATGGGGCCTTCATGATGGCATAAGCAGCTTAATAAGAAGAGCCTGCATGCTTGGTCTATCTGGCCAGGGGATGCCTCTGCCAAGTTATGATGTAGCCAGAGGATTCTTTCCAGATACGGAGAAGATGCTGATGCCTACTTGTATTTGCCTACTGGGGAAGCACATCCCAGAACTGTGAGCCACATAAACTTCTATTCTTTATGAATTACTTAATTTCAGGTATTTTGTTATAGCAGCAGAAAATGGACTAACACACATGCATAAATAGCATATATAATATATACGCATATGTGTGTGTATTGTTTTTCAGAAAGAGCTAGAAAAATTCATATAATCTCTAGTCATTCACTAATTCCAAGCTTTTATTCAAGGCTGCCACATATGGCATTTTATGTGCTGCTAGTTAGAAAGAACAATATTCCAGTACTGTTTTGAAATTTCACATGAATGCAAAATAATTGAATTTATATATTTCTAAAAATATTGTATTTTAAAAGTCTAATAATATGTTAGTAAAGAAATTCAATAAATATGGTAATTTTGCCATTCATATGCTTTA